GATATCTATGAATCTGAAAACCAGTTGGAGCTAATAATTAGTTGTGACAGCCCTTCTGTTTTCCTGCCTTTGTTCCAGCATATGAATCGGTGCAGTTTATATGAATGTAACTTTCAAATATTTGGCAAATATTTACCAAGCTAAACAACTTTGTGAATGAGCCTCCTGGTGAAAGTTTTTTCGTATGTAAAATGAGGCATTTGTATTTAATTTGACGTGTTGACAGGGCAGCCGGATCCCACAGAAAGCGCTGCTGGCACCAGCTCAAGCAAGAGTATCCCAGGAAACAACTTCTCCTCGCTTTTACTTCTCATTTGGAAGTGTATATTTAAAAAGGGGGGCAATGGATGAGGAAGAAAAATAAATACTCTTTATTACAGCTTGCCAAAGCACGATTTCAAATATTCTGCCTCCACGTCGTCCTCTGAGGAAGTAGCTGTGGTTTAGTCTCGACTAATGAGTAGGAATTAGATAGAGCAGAAGGACTGTACAGGAATATAGTAATATCTTCTGGTCATGAAGACAAGTCTACATCTGTTCTCAGTAAAGCAACTTCAACTAAAATGTAACACCCTTGTACTGGCCTTTTGTTCTCTCTGCTGCAAAAACTGAACCTTTGATTGAGAAATACAGTAACTCTTCAACATCAAAATCAGAGATATGTACATGTACACTAATAACCCTGAAAATCCAACTTAATCTCAAATATTAACGTATTTATAATAATCAATGAACAGTAAATCTTCAAACAATTTTGATAATCAATTCATCATTTATGTAATTTTCAAGCAAAAATGGTCGGAGTGCCTCGGTAGCCTAATGGTTATGGCACATTCTGCATGGCTGCCGCAACGCCAGTGGTTCGTCGACCTCTGTTGCACATCATACCTCTCTCTTCCCCGTTCCTGTCTGCCTCTGCAGTCCAATAAAAGCTACAAAATCTGATCTGTTCTTAGTTTTTTTTTTTATGATAGTGCACCAAATATCTTTGGGGTTGGAGAAAACAACACATTCAAATAATTCAAGTAATATGATGGCCAATTTTCATTTTATAGACCTTAATAGAACATTTAATTGATAAATCAAGAAAATAGTTTATACATTCAAGCAAAATGTAAGAAAATAATGCTAAATGAGTTGTTTAGTCTGTGAAATGTCAGAAAACAGTAAAAAATAACATCACCAGAGCCAAAGCTGAAGCCTTCGATGTCTCAAATTCTTGTTTTGTCCGACCTAATCACTTTCCATTTACAGTGGTATAAAGAAGAGAAAGACAGCAAATGCTCGCGTCTGAGAAGCTAGTACCAGGGAATGATTGGCATGTTGCTTCATATATGACTTAAATGATCAATTCTAAACATTTTAGTTTCTCCAAATCTCATGTCTCAAAGTCCTTCCCTAGGTGATCAATTTTCGGACACTGGCAGTTGTATTGGTAGCAACATCCTGAGCAAAGAATCTGTGTCTCACTGCTACCTGCTAGGCCAAGACAACAGGGGAAAAAGCCCTGGGCTGTGGAAGAATGCTAGCATTCACAGGAAGCAGACACTGGCAGTGACAGGACAAGCTCCCATCCATCACCAATTTATTTAAATCTTGAGTGATTTAGGTCCATTTAGGTCCATTTGGGTCTCCTGTGGATTCGGCGCACACCTGTCATTTGCATAATTAAGCTCTGGAGCAGTTGTAAAAGACAGCCATTTGGTGTATTAAATTCACACCTTATCAATCAGGGGAGCATCAAGATGTATGAGGACCTCCTGACTCTTGGCTTCCTGGCTTCATTTGAAATGCTAAGTGCAGCTTCTCCTCCAGGCCTGCCTGCCCAGGCCGCCTGGTGGCCTCCATACACGTTAACTGTTGTGGTCAAACCCCAACTGCTCAGCCCCTTCCCTCGGGGGGCTCAATCATCAATCAGTCTCCAACTAACTTCTGTCCAACTCCCTGACAGTCAAGATGGATGGTGCCAGCGCTTACAGGATGCTGTATCCTCTCATTAATTCTCTTGTTAGCATGCACCGATAGCAGTGAGATAGGGCCTGTTTTATCTGTTTTCCACCAGACAGAGGCCTCTCCCTTTTCTGGTCGAGGGTCAACAGTTAATCATTTCTCAGGCACTGGTTATTTAGTGCCACAATGATGTGATGTGTCAAAATCGGACAACATACATTCCCGGGATTGAGCAAAACAAAGGGGTCAATGTCCTCCCACAAGGGCCCTCTCTCTGTCTAACGACTCTGTGGCTCCATTGCAACCAGTAGCCAGCGCTAAACAAGACCAGCGGATGAATGGGCGCTATTTTCACAACACGTACTTCTTCGCAAAATGAAGCCCGCGCAGGCTGCAGGGACACTTCAACTGGCCTTTTTCAACACCCATTACACTGAGACCACTGAACGCAGCGGGCGGAAAAGAAGAGTGACATTTACTGCCACAGATTGCCACACAAAGAGTTAAAGAGAGATGAGGGGGGGTGTGCAGGGGTGAAAGACAAGGGGGTCCCTCTTTGCTGACGGTGATGAATGAGTGGATCACAACACGTTTCGGAGGAGGCCTTTGCATCCACAGAGGGGGCTCCTCATATGACATGACTGACAGCTAAACTCGCTTACTCCACCTGCACCCGCCCCCCAGCAGAATATTTTACTCGGCAGCCATGTTATAATCATAGCATACTGCAGATACTAAAATAAGCCAGTTAAGGACTGTCTAAATGCATCAGCATGCTTCAAGAGAAGTGCCTGTCAGATCTTTCAATGGCATCTGAGAGCCTCTGCCCCCACACCTTTCTGACATCAGAGTTTGGGAGTCCGACTGTTTACATGCTTTTCCATTTGAGCATGTAGGGAGATAGAATCTACAGAAAATATGTTTCAACAGTTACATGAAAATGTGAGTCAGAATTGTCTAAATCCTGGATACAGCCTCAGATTGCTCCAAACAAAGCCCCCCCATTCAAATGACGGAAGGGGTGTTTGCAACTTTTGTAACTTTCCAGAACCAATATTATGAGTTATATCCACTTTACACAGCCAAGGCCAGGTGTATGGAGGTGTGAAAGTAGGATGAGTCTGAGTTAGTTCTCAAGCTCTCTTTTTTTTAACCATACCTTTTTTTTGTACAAATGAGTGCAACACCTCCCCTCCTCCTCTCTATGAAGACATGCTGTCCAACCCTTCTTCCAGTTTGGCCATTAAAAGCAGGTACAAACACTTTTTGCCTTTAGACGTCTTGAGACCACACTTAGTTTGTTTGAAGCATACTGAAGCCTTTACACTAAAAGGTGCAGAATTGCCACGAGGCACCATTATAAAGATGTACTTTAACACCACTAAGACAAGCTAGTCTCAGGTCGAAATGCCAAGATTTCACATTTTTAACGGTCACAGCCACTTGGACTTATTGCTACACTGTTCAGCTGATAGAAATACTTTGAATAGCTTTTAGATTGTGCTGAGGGAAACTACTGAATGGACAATTTAATGTCAGTGGAGCTGCTGGAAGAAGTGCTGATAGTGCACCGTGATTCTCATTTTATTTAGATTAACTACCCCTTAATACAAAGGCTGCTCATGCCTCGGTGGAGATAAAGCTCATAAAGGTGCAGTGTCAAGACCGGAATTTGATCCACATACACATTAAGGAGCCTTCTTCCTCGGGCCTAAAACAACCTGAAGGTAGGTTCACTGTACCGCTACCTAGATCTAGGTAGTTTTAGTCGACACATGAACAGATTAATTGTTAGAGAGATGCAACAGTATTCTGTTCTGAGAGCTTTGCACCAAGACGTAATAAGAAAAGGTGGCCAGAGCTGCTGGTTGTTATGCTGCATCGCTCTCCCTGTGGAAATAAATAGTGGGCTTTCTTTCCACCAAAGGGCACAACTGGATCTTACATCTATGCATATTAAAAACAACAAGAACAATAAAAAGGAGCTCCGTGGGGTTGAATCAGCGATAGCCTGCTAACATTAGAGACGTGGCACAACTTGAGGCGGGCTGTGTTGCTCTAAATTACATGGCCTAATATATTTCATTAACACACCTCCCTCAGTGGGGTCCCTAATGGATGACAGCGTGGCATAAAAGCTTGTCTGCCAGGGACACTAATTTGTTCTTAGATGCATTCCATTCAATTATTACTGGCTGCTGCTCCTCATAAGCTGCTTAGATTGAGGTTGCCCACTTCGCCAAAAAAAAAAAAGGCTTGGCTGACAAGGCAGGCCACTTAAGTTCTCTGACCTAAGTCGCCCCCCTTTTAATCCACAGTGATATTTATCTTTCAAGTCAGGTGGCCACTAAAAATAATCCTCTGAGCGTTCAGAATGACAGAGAGCATGTTCTTGTTAATTGTAGTGGCGTGATCCGGCAACACAACAATGCACAAATGAGCCACGTTTGCGTTTGCCCTTCCTGTTAGGCTCCTTCATAAATATCCCGAGGCCTAAATGTCACAGTACGACGGTTATTTGTTTTCCCTCTCTGTCAGGGTCATTTGGCCGGGCTGGAAAGATACTGAAAGACTGGCTGGACTTCCTTTAGACCTGTGTATTCTGCTAGTGATTGCCTTGGCTCACTGCCAGTGGCAAAGAGAGGAGTGTTCGAGCCGAAACTCAAGTTATTATTTAATCCCAGTGTCAACAGAATCATGGCCATAAATTAAGAGCCTCGTAATCAATTAACACGGATTCCAATTATTACACTGGGGGATGTTTGGCCTCAGTACTTTATCCATCTTTACTGCTGTCAAATCAGCTGCTTTAATCCCATTTGCCAACACATCTATTCATCCAGCGATGCCTAAATTATCATTTACCTGCTTTGCATAATCAAATCACAAATACTCCCCAGTTTATTGCACGTCTTTTTGGCACACCTTTGCTGTTTTTCAAAAGTTAATTCAACGAGAGAAAAAATATCTGGGAATGCTAATGAGTCAATTAAATTACTCCTAAAAATACATTTCACTCTGATCATGGCAGAAAAGGAACAGGCACTCACGTTCACACGCGTCCCCCTTCTGATGAAATCCAGCCTTGCATATACATTTCCCAATGGGCACCAGCCATTCCCCTTCGGCGCTGCAGTGCATCTTGGGAGAGTTGTCTGCCTCCTCCTCGGCGTCGCTCACGCACATGCCTTCGACCTCCACCAGCGAGGAGAACTCCGACCCCGTCACAGTGTCCGGGAACGTGGCCAGGTTCTCGATGATAGACCAGCACTTCTTGTAATACACTTTGACAGAGACCAGAGCGATGCACGCCCCTACATCCTGGAAGGCCAGGTAGAAGCCACGCCTGGACAGGGGGCCAATTATGCGTACTTCTGTATTCAGCTTCATCTTCCTCTCGCCCAAGTCACCCTGGGTGAAGCTTTCATCCGCGGCGATCGTGTCAATTTTCACATACTGGTTCTCTCGTAAGCTCCTGCCCACCTCGGAATCTGTTTCCTGGTAATACAAGTTGAACGTCTCCTTGCACGTGCCCACCACACCGGGTAGGCTGTTACAATCCCTCAAGGTGAACTTCAGTTCCACAAAAATTCTCTGGGCATTGCCCTTCTCTATCCAGTTAGTCCGAAGCCAATTATTCTGATTGGGCTCCATGACTTGGCAAACCTGGTATGTGCGAATGGGAGTATAGTTCTCGTCCAAGCCGCTGATCTCTTCCCACTGAAAGAAGAAGACATACATTTGTGAATAAACACATCCATTAGACATCGTCGCCATGTTGAATTTAGATGTGAAACAGACATCTAATGATTGGCAATCAAGCTGGAGGGGATTCCACTGTAATGAATATGAGAGAGGTGTATGAAATATCATCATTTCAGGCAGTTGTCTTTACAATAAACTGCAGTGAATGAAGGGGGATTAGCAGTTGCATTGTTTTATCGCACAAACACATCTTTAAAGAATGATTGCACTCAGTTTATCTGCTTCTGCTCACATTATTTATTTAAAAAGTTTCTCACAGCCGGCTTTTAATCAGAGTAGCAAGTTGGAAGTGGTTTGCTTAAGGCCTCTGTGCTCTGAATGCCAAAAGCCGGCTGAGTTTAGCAGCAGAAATGACCTCTTGCATTCTTTATCTTTTTATTTTAGGAAGACTTTTGCGAACTGATCCTTATGTATGTTTCATGCCTCCCTTATATATCATTATTCCTATCACAGATGTGGGACATCAGAGGAAGCAGGGAGGGAAAAAAATATGTATAGATGTGGAGTACATCCTGTGTGCCAACGATGCAGAGATTCTGCAGACTTACCCCATTGGGAGGATAGGAGATCCACTCCAGTTCTGTCTGCTGTGCCTTGGAGTCCAGCAGAATCACTAGTGACAGGAGAACCGAGAAGCAGGTGGTTAAATCTCACCGGGGCACCGGGCTGGGTATTACTGATAGGCCACACATCGATATCTATAGCGCATATAAACCGTGACCTAATTTCTAGCAGCAGCAGCAGCTTAAGCAAAAATAAGAATATATGTACACTGCAGCAGACAGGTCCTCTTGTGGAGGGGACTTCCTGGGAGACAAATGAAGACACTGACAGCGTGCATACAGAAGAAATAAAGAGTGTGGAAGCAGAAACGCATATTATAATGTATCCGGAATCATTACGCATAAGATTTAAGCATTTATTCTGTTATATATGGATTTTACGCACCAGTTTATTCAAACTAATTTCTGGAGTGGAAGTTGTTGCGTTAAGGTCAAATCAGCGGCTTCCTTCCCGACGCACACCGCCTACAGTACATGTATGCGCTTAAACTCGGGGATATTTGCAGCTCACAACGGCCCCGAAACTACATCTAACAGTTCTAATCCGAGAAGGAGATTTGTAGAAAATCTGCCTGTTTTATGTTCTGGAAGCGAGCGGGAGCGCAACGCGGCACCGAGCGCGGCGGCTTCCATAAAAATGAAGTTGTTTTAATTGTATTTAATATCAGCAGACAGTTCTAACATGGGAGGGGGGCAACAGCCAGGACGCACCGCCGTAAAAAAAAATATGCTCCGGTTATATTTTACAGGAGACTGCGAAATCCCGCAAATAAACAGCGAGGAAATACAATGCATATGAGCTATTGCATCCACACCGCGCTCCGTTATTACACTGTAGTTTCTGTGCTGAGAACATCAATACCTGCCCTGAGATTTATCTGTTTTTACGCAGAACATAATAGCATTAATTGAAACAGAATCTGATCAATTAAAAGTGCCAATTTTCATCTATTTGGAGTTTATTTAAACCCTCTCTTATTTTGCTGTTTTACAACCTTGGTTCTGGCCAACTTGAAGGTCTGAGTCAGATAACGGCTCCGCGTCAGTCTCCTGTTTTTCTCTTCCATGGACAAGACTAGACAGGACGGTGAGAGCCGAGGCCACTTTGGAGGAAATAAAACCCTCCCGAAACTGCGTCCACACATACGGCTCACTCACTTCCAGCGAGGCGAGCCTGCTGCGACGATCGATCCGCTGCTGGTACCTAGTTAGTCGTGACACATTGTTAATCTTTAACGAGCAGGCTAATTAGAGTAAAATAAAAAACAAGAGCTCCTGCGTCTAGTCAGCGTTCCACGGCGTTTAACTGCCGTGCGTAAAAACACCGAGAGGACGCTCGCAAACAGCCCGGGAACAGACGGCGCTGTCATCCCCGCACACCGGCCTCATCCGACGGCACTGGGTTGGATATAAAACATCCACATTTTGAATTAATAAAAAGAAGAAATCGAGTAGGGTTTAAAGAGAAAATCGGGGGGGAAAGGAGGAAGCTGTCTGCTGGATTTGGACATATCTCCGTTAATTCTGGAGGATGTCTTCCAAATGCGACGGGATGGAAAAGTCCAAACTTTAAGAACTTACCTTCCTTCGCATTCTGCGCTTCCCCGCTGTCTACATGACAGAATAAATGAAGGCAAACTGTAATCCACAGATACGGGATGGACCTGGAGAGCATGGTGCAGCCGCGGTGTTTTCAATGTAGACCGTAACTCGCTTTGCCACCGTCTCGCGTGCTTCCCATTGACGACACTAAACCGGCTCTATGTACAACAATCCGCTGGTCCCCACTCAAATAGCGTCTGCTGCCGCTGGGAGGAGACTGTGGCTGCCGGGGTGTCAGTCAAACAGACGGGCGGAGGGATGGTCCAATCGTGATGCGCGGAAGGGAGCGTCATGAGAAGGGAGGGCCAATGGGCGCGTGGAGGTGGATGGGTTGGAGGGGGGAGGGTGGGTGCACGGCGGAGGAAATGTTGTCACAACTGGGTTTAGATATTTTTGGTTTTCTTCAGGAAAAGGGCGAGAGATGCTCATTGCAGTTGGTGTCTCGACACAAACACACACACACCTAAAACACCAAGGCAAAGAGGATTCTGGGAGGTTGAAACAGATCCTCTAAAAAACACTCTGTAAAGTTCGTTTTCCTACTTTGAAACATGAAAACTTTGTTATATTTATCATCCAAACACACATTTCCACCCACCCGGAGCAACATTTTCTGTTTCTTATGTGACAAGCTTTATGTTGCAGAAGTCACAGTGTTTCCAGTTATCTGGCTGATTAGACCTCTGCCCAGGCTGAAGGTGGGCCAGATGGGAATTTATTAGGTTACCAATGAGAGTGATAAAGATGTCATTTGTCCTGCCCTAAGAGTTGAAACAAAGCTAACAGGAGACTCAGAAAGATGTCAGTCAAATATAAACCCACACAGTGCTGAGCAGGGGTCTAATCAGCCAGAAAACTCCTGTGTGGGTGTTACTAAATAAAGAGTTTAGACTCACTCTCATCCTGGGAGATAAACTATGTAGAGTGGCCCAGCAATGTTGGTGGCCAGGAGAAGGAGGTGGGGGGCTTTTGGCAAGGGCCAACCTGTCACAGAGGCAAACTAGGCAGCTGTCTGTGAGGTTCTCCCCATGCACAAAGCTTTTTATTTTATTTATTTATTTTCCAGACATGTAATAAGGTAGCCTATGTATATGCAAAAAAAAAGTCTGGAACAAAAATGTGTGTCTGATATNNAAAAAAAAAAAAAAACAGCAAACAATTACCACACTCTTAAAAACAATTTGCAAGTTATTTTAACTTGAAAAAAATGTTAAAACGAATTACATCATAAAATTTCACAAACTTAATTTTAAATTATTATTGATGAAGCAGCTTTTACTAGTAATTTTAAGTGACGTCGAGTTTAGTTTGATAAGTTACAAACATTTCTGATTAAAGTACTTCAAAGTAATTCTTTTTTTACCATACAAATAAAAAATTACAAAATGAAGGTTAGTGGTGACTTTAAAATTCGTGTTTTTACCCACAGTTAAAAATTATAAAACTCTTAAATCAAAGAATGCTTTTTAACTTACAAATTAGTTAGTTTTAATCTTTGACGTAATCAGATTCTCAAGCAATTTCTTTGAGTTAAATGAACTTATCTATTTTTAACAACGTGCACATTATGTTTAACAAATGTGTTACAATTGAGTTAGGGGGAAGTAGCTTTTTCTCTATCAATCAACGAGGTATAGGTTTGTTTAATTTACTCACTTCGCGATGCTCTATATATAATTTGTTGAGCGATAAACACAACGGTGTTTAAGAGTTTTAATTAGGCGAGCTCGTAAAACTGTAGGTTAGTGGTTTTAGAGTGCAAAATTAAGAATCCTCTAAACATTCCATGCTACGTCCCCGCGTCAATACGTCATTAAAAATTCCAGAAAATCCTGAATAGCTTGCATGGATTTTGTTCCTGCTGGACACAAGATGTCTCCTACTTCGACTGTCCATTCTCAGTTGGATGTGCACATCATCTTTATTGTGGTGAAGAAATATTCAGATCATTTACTTAAAATAAAAGCACCAATACCATTAAATACAGTAAAAATATTCAATTACTAGTAATCGAAGTGGTCCCCAATTCCTATGAAAAACCCAGAAGTAATATATCAGTCAGAATAGTAATTATCCGACCATGCAGCAAAATGTATTCTTATAGACCTGATTATATACTGGTTTACGATTAATTACCTAGGGGTCGAGCCCCTCCCAAAGTAGTGAGATAAATGTAGTAAAAATGTACAACATTTTACTCCCTGGATTGTTGGTGATAGACAAGTAATGAAGTAGAGTAACTTAGTACCTCAAGGACAATTACAGTACTGAGTAATTTATTACCTAAGTTGGACTTGATCAGCCCACAAATATGTTCTCTTATTATTTATTCCAGCACCAAAAACATGGAGAAAAAAAGTCAATCAATGTGAATATTTTAGTTATTAATGCCATAATCACAAACGTCTGAGGGCTTTAGTACGGTGGCCATATGAAGTGCAAAATCACAACAGAAAGAAGAGAATACAAAAAACAAAAAGCAAAAGCATAAAAAAACTTTTGTTGTTAGTGTTTCATTATTTGCGTTATGTATTTTGTTAATGTGGGATTGTGTTTTGTTTAATTTGTGGGTTACAAAAAAAGTAAAAACAATACGAGTGATAAAGAAAATAGAGGAGGGATCCCATCTTTCCAGGACTAAAGAATGTGCGATGTGTGTCGTAATGTAACGGAGCAACCATACAAAGGAGGTTGAAACAAACAAATGCACAAGTATGAAAGACAGTAAGACACAAATAATTATGATTGATGAAACAAGTTAAAGCAGTGATTCGTTTTCCATTCTAGCTCCTAGAATTTGTGACCAGTGTTCTTTAATCGTTGGAGCCAAATATAGTATTTGTTGATGGCGAGAACATTAAAATGGGGCTTTTAATTCTCTAAGAAGGTTCACTGAAAGTAGGGGAGCAGTCCCACTGAGACTGTCCGCCTGACCACGAAGGACCTGATTCATTATGGCTCTGGCTGCTTGAGGACTTTTCACCCGTAAAGATGGAGCCTTCGGGGGGGCCTCTTAAATAACAATACAAGAATAAACAAAAAAACACAATAAAAAGTCTGAAAGTTAATTTCCCCACTTTCTTGGATGACTTGGCATAATCACTTAAAAATGGAAAAAAAAGCATAAAAAGCGGAGCCTCCATTTAAATTCCCCCTTTTAATTTTTACCCAATTACCAGCCCAATTTTTTGGTTTTTGCAAAAAAGGTTCAAACTTTTTAAAAATTTTTTAAATCCCCTTTTTCCCATTTTACCCTCCCCCAACCCCAAGCAAAAAAAAACCCAAGCCCCTTGGTAATTTTAAACGGGCCCCCAAGCCCCCCAAAAAAATATTTTTGGGGGAAATTTTTGAAAAAAAATTTAAACTGGTTTTGGTAAAACCATTAAAAAAAAATGGAAACAAAGAAAAAGCCAAGAAACCCAAGGGAACATTTCCCAACCCTTCCAAAGGGTTTTTTTTTTTTTTTTAATTTTTTACCTTCCTTTTGGGCCTTTTTTTTTTTTTTTTTTTCTGCCTTTTTTTTTTTTTTTGTTTTTTTTGTTTTTTTTTTTTTTTTTTGTTTTTTTTTGGGGCCTGTTTTTTTTTTTTTATTTTTAAAAATTGCCCCCCAAAAAATTTTGGCAACCCCCTTTTTTTGGCTTTTAAAAATCCCCCCTTTTTTTTTTTTTGCCCCCCCCTTTGGAATACGCCCAAGGTCCGAGTCCCCCCCCCCCCTTGGCCCCCCAATGGGGAAGTGGTAAAAAAAATTAAACCCTTTTTAAATGGATTTTGGGGGTTTTTTGGGTTGAATTTTTAAAAAATCTGGAATTTTTTAAAAAATTGTTTACAACCCTTTTTTTTTTTTAATCAAAAATACAAACCCCTTTGGGGGGGTTCCTTTTTTTTTGGTTAAAAAAAAAATTGAAAAAAAAACACCCCCAAATTCCAAAAGTTTGGGGGTTGGAAAAAGAAAACCAGGAAAATTTTTAAAGAAAGGGGTTTTTTTTTTTTTTTTTTTTTTTTTTGGGGTTAAAAAAAAAAAAACTAAACCAACACCACAAAAAATTAACCCTTTCCCCCCCCCAAAAACCCTGAAATTTTTTTTGGGGAGGTTTTTTTTTTAAGTTGAAAACCGGATAAAATTTTTTTGGAATAATTCCATTTTTAGTGTTGGGGGGGGTTTTGCCCCCCCTTTCCCCTTCCCCCCCCCCTTTTCCTTCAAGCTTTGGGGTGGCCCCAAAGGGGAAAATTTATTTTTTTTTTTCCCTTTTCCCCCTCTTTTTTTGGGGAAAAAATGTTTTTTTGGAAGGGGAAAAAAACAAAAAAAAAAAAAATGAAAAAAAAACCCCCAGGCCAACAACTTTCCCCTGGCCCCTTGTATTTTGGGTTCCCCCCCTTAAAAGCTTTCCCCCTAATTATTTGGAAAAAACATTTTCCCCCGCCATTAAAAAATTTGTTCCCCCCCTTTTATAAAGACCCCCTTTTAAAGCTTTTTTTCTTTTTTTTTTTTAAATGTTTTTTTTTTTTTTTTTTATAAAAATGTTAGTTGAAGGGTTGTGGCAAAACTTTTTTTTTTAAAAAAACCAAATTTTTAAAATTCCCCCAAAAAATTTGTTTTTTTTTCCAAACACCCGGGTTTTTTTTTCCCCGCCCTTTTTGTTCCCCCAATGGGCGGGTTCAAAAAAAAACACCAAAAATTGTTTTAAAAAAAAATTGGAATCTTTTTTTGGGAAAAAATGGATTTTTTTTATCCCATTTTACCAAAACCCCAATTTTTTTTTTTTTTTTTTAATAATAACCTCCCCCAAAAATTTTTTTGGCAAGTAAAAAAAAAAAAAAAACAATTCCTTTGAATTTTAAGTAAACTCCTTTTTTTTTTTTTTTTTCCCCCCCCAAAACTGTTTAAAAACAAATTTTTAAAAATTTTTTTTCCAAAAAATTTAAAGTCCCGGTTGGGGGGGGTTCCCCCCCAACTTTTTAAAAAATTCCCGGTGGGTTTTTTTTTTTTTTTTTTAACTAAACCCTTTTTTTTTTTTATCCAAAAAGTTTTTTTTTTTTTGGGTTTTTCTGGAAGAAAGGAAAGGAAGAACCTTTTCTGTTTTTGAATTTTTTTAAGTTGTAAATGGGGTAGGTTTCCCCCCCCCCCCAAAGTAAAACCCTAAAAATCCAAGT